TTTCCCTGGGATTCCGGAGGTTTTCTACAAAGAAGGATCCCTGGAAAGAATCCGGAAGGTACCCCTAGAACCATCCATCCACCCGCGAGAAGAGCAGTTTGATTGACAGAGATGGATCCCTTCCCCCCATTCCCCTCATCCCGTTGCTTTCTTCTGGAAAGGTACACCGGAACCTAGCTCCAAACGTCCCAAGTTGGACAATCTGGGCATAGACCCCGCTGACAGCTGGGGAACAACGCGTCCGGCGTCAGGAATCCCAGTGCCAGGGAACCTTCAGGAGCAAACCCCCCCCCCAAAATGTCATGTATCCAAAAAGGGGTACCCAAAAAAGGTGTCCTATCCAAAAAGAAGGGGGTACCTAGAGTCTCCCTGACCCTTTAACAATGTGGTCATAACCCCTTAATTTTGGGTTATGACCCCATTTGTCAAAAGGGTCAGAAGGAGACTCCAGGTACCCCCGCCTGGGTTGGAGATTTTGCCCAACTTCAACGCCCCGGGCCCCCAAAACATCGATCCGGTCCTCAGACTCGCCGCTAAGGGGGGTCAAATCTGCCACGTCGCTCCCAGGCTCCTGCCGGACATCGGAAAACGTGAAGCTTCGCCGAAGCAACCCTCCCAGCCACGTTCGCTTGTTTTTCTTTCCCCATGTCCAAAACCCCCCCGAACCCAGAAAGTAATACCTGGAGTCTCCATGACCCTTTAAAAATAGGTCCATGACCCCGTGTTAGGGCAATGACCCCATTTTTTAAGGGCTATGCAGACTCTAGGTAACGCCGTGTTGTTTGTGTTGTTTGGCAGGATTATCTGGCTGCACACGATGCACAAACTGCACCCCGCTGCCCTGCAAAAAAGGGTGTCCACAGCTGTGATGGCACGTAAGTGACTCAGAAACACACGTCCTTCCATTTGCGGATAGGCACTCCATGGAAATGGTTCGTTTTTTTTTTAAACATCAAGCCGTGATAGATTCAATCTTTGAAAGCAACAGGGAACATCAACACATTCTTGAGCAAATGGCAGCCTCTGTCATTATAGTGGCAAGCGCATCGTTTGTCTTCTCCAAACGTGGCAAATGCAAGGGTCCCCAATCGTCCTAAAAGTTCGAAGCCCCAGCTGGTTCCCTTCTGCTTTGCCAAAAACACATCAGACACATGTCCAAAAAAAGGCTTCATGTTGACACCTTCACCTGCCCAAAAAATATCTTTGGTGACGTGCACCTAGTCAGAGGCTAATTCGAAGAGGAAACGAAGGAATATGTCTGATCGAGCGTTCCAGCTTTGGATTTGCACTGAACTAAACACCCATGCTTCGAACTCAGCTTCATATTCAGCAGCTACCAACTGCAACTTGATTCTGGAGATATGTTTGGAGATTCAAAACATAAAACAAGCTACTTCCCCGAACCAGCGGAATTTACGGTCTGCTTTTCCCAGAGATCCCCCGTTTTCTAGAAATCGAGATCCGCTTGGTGGTCCGAGGCTGTCCTCTGTCAAAGCCAAGGCATCGTCCTGCAAGTTGGAAAGGCTGCGGTGTCAACACATTTCCGATGGAGCGGATGGGCCAGAGCCAGGCTTACCAGGGCTGTGGGGAATGGAATCCACTTCTGTGATACAATAGAAAGGGCTTCCCAAAGACTATTTTCTTCATATACAGGGGGATTCCCTTGTATCACAGAAGTGGGGAGAAACCCCTTGATCCAAGAACTGGAGTTGATTAATATGGGGTCAACATTGGCCAGGAAAAGGAACCAAACTTTTCGTTTACCACTGAAATGGTGTTCCCAAAAAGGTTGAAGTCCAGAACCTCAGCAAGTGAGTCCATCAGGAAGCGAGAACATAAAGGAAGTTTAACGGTGGAATGCACGGCTGGGTCTAGGTTTTGCCTGAGCATATTTAAACCACAACAACCTACTCTTGGTTGCTGTTTTGAAAAGAGCAAAGGCTGGTTGATACCAAGTTTGCCCAACTCATCAAAGGGCCCCTTTCCGTTTTTGTTTCCCCCCCAAGTGCTCTTTGATTCCGGATGGGCGAGTCCCAACCTCTAAACTGCCAGGCAAATGAAACAACTTGTAGTTTCTTTTTCTCAATTCCTGGATTGTTGGGCTGCTGGGCTCGAGGGTTCTGTTGGGTTGTTGGGTTGTTGCCATTTTTTTTACGTACCACCAGGATGGTCCAGACCCAAAAAGTGACGAAAATCCGAGTTTGAGGAGCCCCCCTTTCGTATGTCTGCAAGTGCTCTTTGATCCTTGATTGGGGAGTCCCACCCAACCTCTGAAAACCCAGGAAAATTAAAACATGACAACTGCTTGTAGATTTTGATAGGGATGCCAAAATCCAAAGAAATAACTTGTAGTGTTTGACTCCAAAGGTGATCCTTTGAGGTTCTTCTTCCGTGCAACCCTTCACTTCCCGTTTCGTACAACAACCAAAGGGATGTTTCCAGGTGTGTTGAACATAGAAAGTTGGACCACACCGTGTGGTGGTCCTCCTTTGATTTTCCTTGAACACCAAGATGAACAGCGTGGTTGCTGGCGAGACCCCTCAGCAACAAGTTTATAGCTTGTTGTGGAATTAATTGAACAACCAACCAGGATCCAACCCAATCGCAAGGGTAACCTCAGCACCACAACACACACACACACAGCTCCTTGAAGGGAACGACCCGCCAGTTGTTTTTATGTGCCTCCTTTTGAGCAAAGGGAAGCCCCGCTACACAGGCACCCTTTCTCAACCACCGCACCTCCCCTACTCCGAAAAGGCGCACACAGCGTTACTTTGTATTTGATGCGTCGCTCGCTTACTTTGGCAGTTGTTGGGCATGAATCGAATCCAACTTGTTCGGAAGTTTTCTAAAGCGAAGGTTGGCGAGTTCTTGGGTGGCAACTGGGGAAGCTTGGGTTTCAAGTCGTCATTTCTAGGGAGAGGGGGTGGCAAGAGCTGTGGCTGCGCAGCAATAAAAAAGCTGGCGTTCGGCAGCGAACATCCCCCAGGAGCAGTTCAATCCCACCCTGAAAACCCCAAACCCCCAAAAACCCCTTCAACGAGTCCCCCCAAACCCCGAAACCAACCCCCAAAACCCCGAAACCAGCCCCCTAAACCAACCCCCCAAACCCCTTACACCAACCCCAAAGCCCCTCAAACCATGGTCCCCCCCCTCCAAACCCTATCCGTCCTTCTCCGGCTCCGGCGCTTGGTGAACGCACGCGGCGCCCATGGCGCCCCGGCGAGCTGTTGCAACCGCGGATCAGCTTGAGTGAGCGAAGGAACTTCGGCTGGTCACCCCCAAGTGGCTCAACAAAAACCGGGGGGTGAGACCGGCAAAGGACCTAAAGTCTCCATGACCCTTTAAGAATGGTTGGTCATTACCCTAGACAATGGTTGGTCATGGACCTATTTTTAAAGGGTCAGGTCATGGACCTATTTTTAAAGGGTCATGGAGACCCGCAAAGGACTCCTTTTGCCCTTCTTTGTACCGCACTTCTTTGGGATCAAAGGCAAAAAAGAACAGGGGAAATGGCTGACCCGGATTCTGACTTTCATCGGGCGTCCTCTTTTCCTACCCCCCGAGTAATAGGACGATTTTTTTTCACTTGAAAGGGAATTCCCGTAGCACAATGGCACAAATCAACCAGTTTGCCGCCACTGCAAGTGTGTATGGTCATGATTGGGGTTCCTAAAGTCACGCTGGTTCCCCCAGTTTTCCCGCAAGTTCGCTACAACTTGTCCAAGTAGTTGTATGCTTTGTGTAGTTGGCACCCTTTTCGGGTTGGTTCAAAGGAAGCATGTGGAACTATTGGCACACGGTCACAAACCCTAGGTCCACGGTTCTCCAAGCCACATCCTTTGAACAGACTCAGACCTGCAAACAGACACACAAGTGTTTGCTGGTCGAAAGGGAATATGGAGGAAAAACAAAATAGGCAAACAGTGCTAAGCTGAGCCTGGCAACAAAGCGTGACATGCATAAGTGCATGTAGATTTCCACTCCTAGACGCCGAACTGACATCATGCTGTGGCTCCCTTCATCTCCCTTCGAGCATCATCCACAAATAAAAAAAAATCCCCCCATATTGAACAGCCCGAAAACGGGCAACAAGGACAGTTGTTTGGCGTCAGGCAAAAAGCATGTGCAAAGAGGCGGACAACAGGTATCAACCTCCATCAATAGGCGGAAAGCCCCAAACCCCCCTGTTTACACGTGTAACACCCCCACAACACGTGTGTGTGTGTGTGTGTGTGTGTGTGGTCCCCTTGAAACCTGTTTCAGACACGTCTTCTGTCCCTCCTCATTGGGGATTGAGCGTCTTGCATGTTTCAGGATGTTCCCAGCGGACGTCCATAGCCACACATCAACAGGCGTGTCACACGGCGTCAGTTCTCGCGCCAACATCACAAAGAGTCGCAAGTCAGCGTTTGCAACACCCCGATTGGCAACAAATACCATTGTCTCAGACCTCGTAGGCACTCACTCCCAAGCTGCCTGACAAGTACACACGCAAAAACAAAGCAAGAGCTGCAACTGAATGATCTGCAACTAATCGATCCTTAGTTGGTGGTTGGATTGGTGGCGGTTATGGGGTGGTTTCCCATTTACCTTCTCCAAGAATCAAGGGTTCAAATCCCTGACAACCAATGGAAACCACCAACTAAAACTTACCTGAACTAAACCCTGAATACCCTTTAAAAAAAAACAATGGGAAGGGAACGGCTGGGGAACCGTAGCTTGTATCACCCGCCACGTGGCACCCCGGCGCCGCGAGTCCGCGCACGCGCCTCCTGCAGTGAGGCGCACAGCGATGACTTGGGCGCCGCGTGGACCCGCGCTTGGCAGCGGAGCAAGGCGGGGCCTCGGAGCTGCTGAGCGGCGGAGCTGGGGGCCGCAAGCAAGCCGCGCCCTGCTTTCTGGCCCCATGTGTAAATTAATATGGGGGTGTGACTGGGGTCCGGAGAATGTAAGATCAACTAAAACCTTATAAAAGATGGGGGGGTTCCCTCCAAAGGTTGAAGAAGCATCTGGGGCTCCGGAGAATGTAAGAAGATCAACAAAACCTCTGTGGGTCAAAACCGTATTGGTACCATTTTGGTTGGTAGGTGAGCCTCTATTGTAGAAAGTGTTATTCATAAATCAGGATCATTTTTGCCAGGTACACAAAATCTAGTCTTGGCAATTCTAAACCAAGTACTGGGAATCTGAGAGTCAGTCTTCGCAATACAAGGTTTAGCCTTGGCAATACTAAGTCCTAGAGTACTAAATTTAGTCGTGGCAATACTAAAGTAAGTACTCCCCACCCTAGACCCCCCAGGAATTTCATCAAAGAGGACTGCGGTGACTGGGGTCCACTGTTGAGGGGGGTGGGGGATAACTTTCTGAGGGTCCAATATTGAGGGAGTTCCCCCCTCCCCAAGTTCGCTGCCTACACGGGGTCCACATCTCTACTAGGTCCTCCAGTAGAGAGGCTAGAATAAGGGTACTCGATCTTTTTTTTCTATAGTCTAGTTTAGTAAAAAAAACAAAACTCCCAACCAAAAAAGGGGTGAGAAAGGGCACCTAGCTGGGGGACCTAGTCTAACTCCAAGTCGCCTAACTTGGGGTACCGCTGCTCCATCGCTTCGCGGAGCAATGGCCACTTCGCCGGAGGATCGCTCAGACCATGGCGACACTGGGGCAGCGCCACATCCGGTGAAGCAATGCCGATCCAGAAATATCAGGTAGGTATGACGTCACATATAGTTTTGCATTCATAATATGTATACATTAATATATATATACATATATATATATATATATATATATATATTTATCGATCACAATGTGTATAACCTTTGTCAAGTTGATACGGTGGACGCCCTGGAAATGCTTTCAGCATGAGTTTTCGATGATGTCAATTCTGTCCGTCAGACAGTCCAACCGCAAGCTGCGCTGAAGGGGGCCCGAGCCAATCCGTGGTGGTTCTCGCTCGACAGTGTTTCCCTTACTTGGTTGCTGTTGACCCCCCTGCAAAAAGTTTAACCTTTTGGGGGTTTAGTGGAAAACCCCTTGATTTCCCAAAAAGCTAAAGTCGAAAGATCCAACCCGATAGCAGTCAAGCCTTAGGACCCACCAAAATTTTCTGCCACAATCCCTGCGCGAGTAGAAAGCCATGCTCAGTGACTTGATCCATGCCCGCTCGGGACCGACCACTTCCCCCCAATGGTCAGAGTGGCTTCTATTTGCCCCATTTTTCAAGCTTTTCGTCGCCTAGCAACTCGGTATCCTCTGCTGTCCTTGAGCGCTGCTTGGCGAGAAACGGCACAGGTAGCCCTCTTACACCTACCAAAGGGCATGCCCCAGTTCAGATAAAATCCCCTCAGTCAACCACTTCAACCATATTAACCAACAGGGGCACGCCACCTCAACCAATTTTACCACCTAAATCCCAAAATCCCAAATTCCCAAAATATATTTTCCCAAAATCCCAAATCCCAAAATCCCCATAATTTCAAAACATAAATCTTACAATGTGTGTTATTGTAAGGTTTATGGTGTAATTTATAATTTAAGTTCAGGATAATAATTTAATTGACAAATCTCATTTATTTCATACATCATTTTAAAAATAATATTAATATCTCTCACTGTGTTTTTAACATTAAACTTTTTATAAATTTCAATATAAAATTTGATATATTCTTTAATATCATCTCCTTTCTTTTGACTATGACACAACATCCTTAATATATCATAAATCATTTCATATTTTTTCTTACTGATTTTAAGAAACTGTTTAACATAAACGTAAGGTGGTAATTTATACACAGTTAAAAATATCAAAATGTCATCTTCTACATTTCTATTATGTCTTCCTTTTAATCTCAACAAACATTTGATTATAGCTTGGTTATCTCTCCAGGTTTTACAATTTTCGCATAAATCTTCTTCACCCAAAGCATAATCAATAATATTATTTATTATTCCATTAGGTAAATTTAATTTATACAATTCCATATTTTCTTTTTTAAAGTGGCAACAGTCGTAGCATTTCTTATTAATATACTTATTGATTTCAATACCGTTCATTTCTTCACTATTAATATAAGGTGTTTTTTCTTTAGGACTATTTCGCCTAAAACTAAATTATTAATTTAATTCTTTCTATTATTTTGTCACATGTTGTTTCATTATAAAAATTATTTTTTATTTGTTTTCTAAACATTCCCATTATTCCAATCGCACGTTTTATTGTATATCTAAGTTCGTGAGTTTTATACTCATCATTTAAAAACTCATTTAAAAAATCAAACAATACAACATTTTTTAAACGTTTAATATTAAAAGACATATTGTATAATTGTTTTACAATACTATAATACTTAAAAATAAAATCATTATTATATCCTTCGTCGTTACATTCCAATAAATTATCAAATCCTTCTATAGTTAAGAAATTATTCATTTCAATAAATACAAATATTTCTAAATCATCATCAATAGTTTCATTATTTATAATATCAATATCCTTGTTATTCATATCATCAATTGCTTTTATAATTCTATTGCAATTATTGCATATTATATATTGACAAATATTATTACAAACACCATTTGCAAAACCCCGTTCAATTGGTAATTTGAGCATTTCACAGTCATCACATTTATAACTCATAAATTTGTCTTTCAATATATTTTTAGCATTGATACCGACTGTATCACTCATTTTACTATAATATATTAAGTTATTATTTCTTCAAGTCATTTTGAAATCATAAATCTTACAATGTTTTTTTATTGTAAGGTTTATGGATTAAAATAATGGTCAGGCAATATGTCTTCAAATATGTAATCTACATATTTATCTATATCACCAATGTATATATATTTGATATTGTTTTTTCCTATTATTGAATAAATATATTCCCAAAAGAATAAATACAACAATAGACATACTTTATATTTAGTGTTGTAGTAATACCATATACTATATTTAGTTGCTCTAAATTCGTTCAAGACTTCGTTTATTTTATCTTTGTCTAATAAATGCCAGTCAATCCATTCAAACAAATAACGGTATTTTTTGACAAATGCTTTGTATGGTTTAATTGCGTTTATTCCTCCAAACCTCCTAATTAAATCTATATTACTAAAGAATTCATCAATTTCATTTTCATATGACTTTCTGGAAATCTTCTGGTAAAAGTGTATAGGAAATCTTGCTTGGTGTCGCATAAAGAATTTTAACTGTAATTGAAACTTTGTATATCCCTTGTCCTTATGTTCTTCAAGAAAAAACTTTTCAAGGTCTCTTGTTATACAGCATTGATTGCAGTATACATTATATTCACTTATTTTATTACATAGATTAGCAGGTAATAACTTATACAATGTTATATTAACATCATTCCTTTTAGTTGTACAACATTCGCAATTTGAATAATTAAATAACATTTCACTAATAATATAAGGCGTTTTTTCTTTAACTGTATTTCGTTTAATATTAAACTTTCAATAATTCGTGTCTCAAATAAGGACTAGTTTTTCCTTCCAAATGAAAGTAAGATTGCCCTAATTTACTATCAATTGATTTTACTTTAAATACTTCTTTTAACCAATGACTGGTATGTGCCTTTTCGCTTATGCCTTTCTTTCTCATTATTTTTACATTACTACCCACTGACAACTCAGGGTATTTTCTAGTATTTCTTGCTTGCATTGTAATATTCATTTTTACTTCAAATTCATTCTTTTTCATTCTTGCGTCCTTCGGTGTAAATTTAGTTGCGGAATGAATATTCTTATTATTGTAAGTTAATAATATTTCAAAAATATAATCCGTCCATTGGATATTCTGCTTTCCATTTTTCTTGTCCGCTTCAACTCGTTTAAACAGTTGATCTTTAAAAGTCTGAATTCCACGCTCCGCAAATGCTGGATGACCTCTAGTTCTATGTAATTCAATTTTCTCCTCCTTCAAATAATCTAATACTGATTGATTAAAAAAACTGCCTTCCTCGTCGGTATAAATTAATTTCGGTTTGCCACCCATCTTATTGATATTCTCCATCATTCCTGCTAAAATGTCTGGCGGTTGCTTTGACTTGATAGGCACGATATGCATATATTTGCTAAATATATCAATGCATATCATACCAATTTTAAATGTTTGATTTTCCAAATCATTTTTAGAAATGAAAAACATATCAACTTGAAATTCCCAGAAACTATGCGGAGCAATAAAACTATTTTCACCTCTCATCTTTCTTTTTTCTTCTACATTCTTACTAAAGAATTCATTAATATCGTTAATTGTAATACTACTATCTTTTTGCTTAGCATCCTTGAGGGTTGTTTGTTTTGAACCATAACCGCTTCTATCATAATATACACTCTTGATAATTTCTTGTGTTGAACTCATTAATTAAGTTAATAAAATAATTTTGAAAAACTCATTTTCAAAATTATTCATGACGCACTGCAATTGCAATAGACACAAAAGGCAGTGCAGTTTTCAACTGTGTGGCATAACTCATTATCACAACGTTGAGCAGTGAAGTTAGAACTTATTTTTCCTCCTCTTGTATCTAGATTAAATTTAATTCCGCAGTTTTGGCAACAGGATTTGAAGTATTTTAAGCACCAGTTTTCGTCAATGTATTGCTCTTCGTCTATTTCTCTTTTTGCTACTCTATCTTGCTGTTTATATCCTTCAACTTTGTTTTTAAAATAGTTGATTACCAAACTCTTAAACATATCTTCATCTCCCTCTTTGTTCTTGTAAAAATAGACATTGTTAAAATCCCTCGCTCGTGTGATACTCGTCCACAACCATTCCCTACAAACTAAATAATCTTTGTTCCATTCGTGAATGGTCATATTATCACTGATTGATGTCCCCTGTCTGCTATGAGTGGTAGCACAGTAGGCATATCTAAAATGCTTATCTACAATATCAATGTCAAGTGTTCTAATGTTCTCTGCATCCTTGATATCTTGTATTGTTATCTTGTATCCTTCGTTATTAACAACCTTCCACCTAATATTAACATTCAGTTTTCCTTCCTTGTCCTTTTTGTAAAGTCTGCATATTAAGATTTCTCCAATTTCATATTTGCATGTTTTACCTAATCTTTTTCTAATCTCATTGGATACTGCCTCACATCTAATATTTGTATATGCTATGTTGTTTTCACTATTCATAACATCTTTAGTAAATTTGAAATGCTTAACTATCCATTCTTCAACTGCCATCTTTTTAATCCAAAAGTCATCATAGATTTCATTCAGTTTCTTTCTGTTTCTTTCTCCTTCTTCTGTATCCTTACCACCTACTCGCTTACATATCTTTAAAAATATATTATATTTAAAAATAATGTCAATACATTTGTCAATGTATTCGCCTGCGTTTTGAGTATTAGTGAAAGGTTCAATCGGTGGCAGTTGCTTGACATCACCGGCACCTATAATTACGATGTCAGGATTGTTATTTGCAAACACCCTTATTTTGTTCAATATGTAAGGACTGGACATATAAATCTCATCAAACACTATACAATCAAAATCTGAATAATCAAACTTTGGTAGGTCATCCCCTTTATCAACTGGAATACTAAAGAATGTATTTACTGTCACCGC